CACAACTCCTTCTGATTCAATGGTATATAGCCAAAAACTTGGTAGTGACCTATCAGATAGAAGACAGAGAATTCCAGTATTTGCCGTGCTTTGTCAGTTCTAAAAGCAGGTGGATGACCTCCCCTTCCAAGATGTTTTCGCCGATGGAGGGGCATTGCATCTTCAAAGATGCCACAAGTGCCACAACTCCTTCTGATTCAATTGCAAGTGATGGATAGTTTAATAGTAAAAAAAAGGAGGAAGGAAGCCAGGGAGCAGCACTAGTCTTTCTTGGTGTGATCGAATGAGCTGCTTTGCTTTCAAAACTCTCAGCGCAGCGACATCAAAAGAAACTCAAACTTCCACTTCAAATATTTTAAGCTTAGCATGTGGGTGGGAACAGATGTGACCTGGGCTTATAATGTGCTTGAATTTGCTTTAAGGTCTAGTACATATTCTTATTTGTGTCTGCCATAGAATATATGGAGCAACCTCGTCAGTAGGTTCTGAATATTTGGCCATGGGAAGCTTGTATTTTTGCCACAAATTTAATCATCACATGACTTTCAGGCTAGATTATCACAACAAATGAACTTCTGGGTTTAAGTCTTACCTTCGCTTGATTATAAAAATTGAAAACTTATTCTGCATTTGATGAAAAACAAGAACGGCCTGCATGTAAGGAATGTATTATTAGATTAAGCTTTTGCATGAGGTGGTTCAACAAAATTACATATATCACATTTGCTCATGGTCAATCTTATCTTTAACTGGTCTTCTAATTTCATATTTGGGTCTTTCAAGTATGTATAGGAGAAAAGGTTGGATAACTGGATCTAATGAAATTTGGGTAATTGACCTGGATCCTACCTTCATCCAACTCATCAGCCCCACCCCCACCATCTCACCCCTTCTTTTCTTGTACTTGGTCTCTCGTTATTGCATAAGAGATTTGCAGGTGCAGGATAAATAATACTCTTTCCAATGGTAATAAATAGCTGCTTCTCTCATACTTATTAATGTTGTATCATTTTCAGAACATTAGGTGAAGCAAAAGATCTGCTAAATTAATCATTATTTAAAGTAAACCTTTAGTTATAATAGAAACTTTTACATTCAGAACTATTAAAGTTCAGTTCTTTTATTGGGAACACGGCTTAGTTTGTTGTTGTTTAGTCCTACTAGAACCTTCTTCAAATGACATTATTGATTTCACAAAATATGTGAATTTTAATTTTAGGAGGATTTTTTTCATTAACGGAACATTTTCCAGGGGTGGTGTGGCTGGGAGGTCTTGTTAATGTTTGAGTTCCTATGCAATTTTTGCTTCTTCATTACCATCTCTTTAGAGAGAAAAGCAGGATACTTTATTCAGTTTACATTCCCCCACCCTCTTATGAGATACTTTATCCAGGGGTGTTGTTCTTGCTAATGTCTGAGTTGGTATGCAATATTTGGTTCTATGCTATCGGTCCCTCCATAAAGAAAAGAAAGATTCTACTCGACTGCAACTGCATTTGTTACTTTATCATAATATTGCATAAATCAACAAGAGCATATAACAGAATTCACTATTAAAATTCAAGAATTTGGCTCATCCTCGGAACTAGTTAGAATAAAAATGAAGGGTCGCAATAGGTTTTTCAAACCAAAAAAGTTTTTATTTTCGGGTTTTTTAATAATTTCCTTAGTAAATATTGGTTTCTCTTAATGGTTTGGAGATATATTCTAAATAATTTCTTCCTTCTTTTTGTTATAATTTTTAACTTTTTGACAGTGGAGTTTCAAAAAAGCGTTTCAAGTGTACTGGAGGAGTAATGGCATCAGAAGCAGTCTATCTTTTAAGAAGCTTTTATGAGCAAGGAAATCCCAATGGTACGTATATGCATTATAGTTTGTGATCCCTGCAATTTAACATATTCTATAGTTACCGATTTCTGGTTCAATTGGGAAGGAAGAAGATTGTAACACAATATGGAAAATTCAATGCAAGAGTCCCCTTAGAATAGCTTTGGTGTTCCCTTATTTATCATTTGCTTAGGCATTTCTTTTGATGGACAATCTAGAACCTTAGTGTTTACTGGAGAGATTATTTATTCTTCTAGAGAACAATCACGTGCAACTCGAATTCTATGTCGACTCTTATATCTCCAATCTTCTAACATATCACCTCGATCAGTTTCTGATTCAATGTTGGGATACTCGAGGGGAATAAAATTGGATCCAAACATTCCCATCTTATTCATCTGAAATGTATGTATCCCGTTCGATCTGCCTTCTTAATATTAATGAACATGTTTAAATAGCCAAGAACCTTATTAAACGCCCAAACATCATCAATGAAGTTGGTGCAATTTTTATATATTGTAGCCGATATGTGAAGTTCTGTCTTCCTTCCAGTCCAATGAAGTTACAAATTTTAACATTATAATATCATTCTAGGTGGCTTTTCCTTGATTTAGAATGTCTGTTCAAACTAAAATCTTCCTTTGTTGCTCACAAATATCCAAGAGGATTTGGATCCACTCACATGCTGTATCTGTATCCGGTGTTAGCTTCTTGTGCATTTCTGCAGTTTTACATTTTTCGAGGATAGTAACTCCAACAGTCACATGTTTGTATACTGTCAATTCTAATTTTTTATACAATAAAATTTATTCTTCATTCTATTTATTCATTTTACTAGCTGGTAGAGTGATTACTGTCTTTAAATTGATTCAGCCCCAAAGCCTCACAGGAAGCCAATGCAAGGGTTCTAAATGGTTCGATAACAGTTGCAGAGGTACATGCTGGCGGTTACTTGTTATAATATGGAGCAATATTATTTTGGCTTTTTTGACCTGCTATCTATCTTAGAGAGAGAATTCATATTGTCTATTCTTTATACACCTAAATATGCATATATCAGCACCCGGGGGACAAGTGAAACAGTGGATTTTCGTTTTTACAACGCTTTGATGTGACACTAGGAGTCTGGGACTAGTGTCTTATATGATTGCATTTGATATCTTGTCGTAACATGCTTTGTTAATGCTTAATCTAATTCCATAAATTATCTTTGCTAAGAAATAAAAAGTGAGATGCTAATTATCTTTGCTAAGAAATAAAAAGTGAGATGCTGCAGTATATCTGGTCTGTAGAAATTAGTAAACTGTCTTTCTCATAATGCCATAAGCTTTTGGCTATAGATATTCAAGGTTTTAAAGTTTGAAACAAGAAAATATTTTGTGATACTTGTCACCTATTAGGATAAAAATCCAGTAAGATTAACTGTTTACGGATGAATGAAAAAGGATTGGCTGGTCTGTCATAATTCTAGTGTGCGGGTAGGAAGAAATTAAAATCCTTATCTGGAAATTGACTAATGCTGGAATTCAGACCCATTATTTAAATTCAAATAGGTGACTTTTAATAACTGATTTTTTAATTATTTAGACGCACTTATTTTGTCGTGCAATGTTTTGCACCATTAATGATGTTGTGGCATGACTCATAGAGAGCATTTAAAACAATATTGTTATTGTTCGACCAAAAGGACGATTAGATACCTTCCTCTCTAAGAGCAATCTCTAAATTTTAGCAAGACAATATGAGTTAGGAATAAGTTAGTGAATCTCTTATGGCTTGTGATCTTTGCAAGATTTGTATTGCCTTCAAACTTCCCGTTTCCCCATCTGGACAATGATGTAAATAAGGTGTCGGAATTCACCTAATTGAGTCATACATACGTCTGCTCCTTGTGCTTAAGTCCTTAAATTTGACATGTTTATCTGATGAAAGCTTCTGATGTTCAGGTGCTGTGATGGAGAATGTAACCTGTTCATGCAGCTATTGATTTGGCTCTAAACGATCAAATTACAGTGCCCTTTGAACTTCTCATCTTGTGCTAGGCAGTCAAATTTATCTTAGAAAAGATTACTTGTTTTAGTTTGAGAAACTGAATGAGAATCTGGGATCAGCTGCTCTGGAGGCAGCACACATTTGAATTCTTTTGATTTCTCACATTGTAATATGGTGATATGATTTCTTGTTTATACTTCTCTTTAATTATCCATACAAAATTGATAAAGCTTGAGTAACTTGACTCACATGCAGCATTTACATACTTTTCTAAAAAGTAACTTTTAAGCACAATTATCTGTGCCATTTTTTGTACGTTTCCCTTTTATGTTGTATTGTGAGTTGTACGCATGTTTCAAAAATTGTGTAATAAATTACCACACATAGTTCAACACTCAAAGTTTTGAACTTAAATAACGATGAACTATCAATGTTCAATAAGATCATATTTCTTTAATGCTATAATTATGCGCACGTTACTAGAGAAATAAAGTCACAATCTATAATTAAGGAGAACTCCTACGCTTAGTATTGTAATTTATAACTCTTGGGGCATGTAACAATGTAACTTGCAATCCATAAGTATGTGCAATACCTTTTTGGAGTGATTTCAATCTTTCAATCATCAGAATACTAATAATTTCATAATATGTTCACTAAGTTTGATTGAGCTGGAAATATTTTTTTAACTCAAAACAATTTTTCTTAATTTAATTAACTGGGTCATGTATCAGTTCCCTTTTTATGATAATATTCATTAGTTATCTAAATGTATTAAAATTCAAACCGAATCAAAAGTAGGCACAACAAATATTATGTAACTGATGTTTTTATCATATGATTGTTCAACATACGAAATCGAAGCGAGCTTTATATATGTTGTCAAAATTACTGTGGACATGTTAAATATCAAAAAGTTGTACTAACTAAACTAGAAAACAGATCCCAATTCTCCAATTATTTTCGAAAAATGGGGAAAAAAATAAAAATTATAATTTGGAAGGCTTCAAGTGTATTTTTCAAGTCTACCTTAGGCCTTTGTCCATACAAATATATTGTTGGTTTGTTGGTGCATATTGCTCATTGCCTAACTAGAAATATACCCTCTCTTTCTCCGTGAAACCCCCAAAGATTTAGAAACCACAAAAGTCTTGCAAAAATCGCCAGAAGAGACCTTACGGATGCAACTGGTACAATGGGAGACTAAAGGTATAAAAAGATTTTAATAAATGTTTTCCATTTATTCCTTGAATATTTGTTGTACATATAAATCAGATGTAAATAGTTGCGAAGATTTTTTTAATGCTCTATTATTAACAATTTCCAATGACCCATATACAGTGTAGATGCATATAAACATACATGTATGTATTATTCTATATGAACCATGTGAATGAATTTTTTTTCTGGTATAGTCGTTTGATTAATTACTGCAAATCCAACAGAACCATATCAATGCTTTTTAGGAAAAGGCAAATGAAAAGTGGTGTCTACAGATAAAAAACTGGAAAAGAACAATATGGGTGATGTTATTTTGTATCATTAGAGCGTCTCTAATTGTGGGGTAAAATATATCTAAATTGTGATTTAGATCTCCAAAGTAGCTGGAACGGAGAGGGGCAAAGAAAATGATAATTGCATTTTTTGACAGAAAATGTAAAAAAAGATGTAAATTATCCACAAGAGGCAAAAAAATGGATTTAAATCTTCCCATTGGAGCAAAATTTGAATTTAGATCCATGTAAATGAGGATGCAGAAGTAGTTTTGGAGGTACTAATTTATACCCATTTTCACACTAAAAGTTGAAAATCTTGAATTTTGGACCAGCATACTTTATAATTGTGTAGGCAATTTCATATCTTGATGTCAAGATGATATATTTGAGATGCATCTATTATGAGACAGAGATATGGAGTTAGTCAAATTTTAGGTCCTTAAGAGTACCTTTGTATGACTTGTGTAGTGGAACTGTGGAAAGCATAAATGTATATGGAGAGACCGAAAGTGCAGAATTAGACAATGAATTTGTAGGGCTGCAGATGTAGCACTATAAAGATAGATTGTGACAGAAAACCCATGTGATGTTCTTGAGCATGTGGAACATAATCAACGCCTCAAATGAAACTGATTAAGATGTCTATAACTGAGTACAAGTGCTAATTGAGAATTGTATGGACCATATTTTGGGGCCTCGTTTCTTTTACTTTTTATTTTTCGGTTGGTGTGGGGGTGGGTTCAATTAAGTTTCTTCTTGATGGCTGGGGATGTTTTAAAATCTAATTGAAGTTGTGGAAGTATGCTACTTCTGTGCCGTGCCTATTGATTATGACTCAGACAGGCATGATGAGTTAGCTAAATGCTCTTAGAAGCCTACCCTTTCTCCATTTTTTAATGCATTTGAAGCGAGCACTTGTAGTACAAGGTCTTTCAGTTAGTTGTCTGGAATTATTTCTCTAATACTTTATACTTGTTTCTTATATTGGATGAGGATGTTGCATGAATCAGTGATTTGAATGCTGTTAACTCTTTAAACATTGTCTTCTGGATTCTGATATTTGAAAGTGCGAGAAAATGTCGATATGATGGCATCAGTTTATATACATGGTACAGTTGATAATGCTGATACAGAGTTCTCATCCTAGTGCGGCAGAACTTGCTCTTTTTTACAGGTCTGACTTCATGAACAAAGAACTTCTATGTGACTGCACACCAGGTACCAAGAGTTGTCTGAATTGTTCAACATGCAGCCGACATCATTTGGGTGGCTGTAAAGAACAATTTTCAGAGGGTAGAAAAACTAATGATGATTTATGTTCGTTCAACTGTACAAGAAATTGTTCCCATCTATCAAGTGCAAGTACAATTTCTCAAAATTGTCCACATACTCTTGTATACCAACGTAAGAAGCAATGGAGGAACTCCGTTGCTGTTTGCACAACCCAGACTTCTGGTGACACTAAGCTTAATGGATGTTGTAATTCTGCGGTCAATTCTGAAGCTCCTTCAGTGCATTCCCAAGACCACGTGGTTTCCGCATCTGAGCTTGCACCAGAAGCTGCTAAACTGCCAATTGTACTGCCAGTTGAGTGCAATACAGGGGCTGCAGAATCCTTTAGTAGACATCCTGTTGGAAACGAAGCTAATTCTGAAGAAGCCTTGAGAAATAATGCACAAAGAGGTTTTGATTTTAGCTGTGTTAATGATAATTATTCATCATCAAAATCAAATTTGGACCTTGGTTCTGCTCACTTGAAAACTGATGTGGGTGATCAAGGTGAGTGCTCCTCCTCTGGGACTTCCATTGCCAGGAAGTTTTCAGATGATATGTCAGAAAGAGATATATGCATTTCAATTCTCAGAAGCCAGGGGTTGCTTGAAAAAGGTTGGACCAGATGGAATTATGCCTCTGATAAATATACTGACATTGCTACTGACAACTGCTGTTCAAATACGTGCAAAGTTTGCGAGCAGGTGGAAAATGCATTAAATATGTTAATATGTGATAGTTGCAAAGAGTCATTTCATATGTCTTGCTGCAATCCTCGAATAAAGAGAATACCAGTTGGTGAATGGCTTTGTAACACTTGCTTGAAAAAGAAGCATAAATTAATGAAGGGCAAATCTATAAGTAATTCAGCAAATATAAATACGGAAATTGGCCAAAATGGAAATTCAGCGCCAGAAGACGCATTAGGGCCCATAGAACACATGATCAGAGACACTGAGCCATATATGTCCAACGTTCGAATTGGAAATGAATTTCAAGCGGATGTTCCTCACTGGTCTGGTCTAGTTGACAAGTATGTTATTTCACTAATTATTTTATGTATTAAAATGATGTTGAAGATTTTTTATTTGATTAGTGTTTATTACTATGCCCCCGTTTGACAACCATTAAAACAAAAATCTTTTTTTCTCAAATTTATTTTCAACCATATATTCTCACAATAAAATATTTTGCAGATGAACTCAAAACTTTTTTGTGCTTTCTAACAACATATTCTCAAAAAAATCACTATTTCAAAACTCATTTTCCTCAAAAATACTCATTTTAATAAGTGTCAAATAGGGGTTATGTTAGATCTAGGGAGCGTTAAGGGACGAATCTTAGTAAGATGTAGTGAAAACGGTAGTCTATTACTTGAGCCTAATATTTGTGAAATATTATTTTAGGCACGGACACTTTCTTATACATGTACAACTTCCAGGAAATTTTCAATGTCGTCAATCTGTCTCCTTAGCGCCTTTTTCATATCTTCCGTTCATTAGTTGGTGACACAGACGATCTAGCTCTTCTCATTGTTAAAGACTTCATTTGTCTAGATGATTATAGAGATTCATTGTCTTTTTTTTCTTTCTTTTTATCTGCTTTCTCTAACTGAACTCTCTCTCCCAGTTTAGCGAGAAGGGAGCATTGTTATTGTGTTTATGTAAGTGGAATTTTCTTTTATTTTGTGTCTTTTGGCATTAAGCTTCCCATGCCATCTATGACCTACCTTCTGTAGGCACGTAGCTACTTTACTATTTCTTTTCCAATTTTTCCCTTCTAGCATTGATTTTATCCGTCTTCTTATATCAGTTGTGATAACTGTTTAAACATTCCTTGAAATCTTTCTAGTCAACATTGCAACTCCTTAGCTATTCATCTATGTGGCTTTTAAACTTCTGCAATAGGGAGACTGGACACCAAGAATAATTTGAAGTTGAGAAGAATCTAGATCAGGGCGTCCACATTGCATTGGTGAAGTTGTCATGATGAAATTTTTGTTTCTTGTATGGTGAATTGTGTCAAAAACTTTTTACAATTTGTTGTTTCCTATTTATTTTGCAATATATTCTTTTGAGTGGTGAACCAACTCATTCAAATACAGTGCTATGTGTTATCACCCTAGACTTTTTGTCATCCAATGGGCCATGCATATTTTGTACAATGCGAGATATGGCACTACTTGATTTTCTACTAGATTCTATGTTTGATGCCTTTTTTGTGTTACAACTCTAATTTGTCCCCTTACACCAGCCATTTGATGTTAACACTTGCTACAGTGAATCTAATCCTATTGGCGAACCATTAGAACTTGATCCATTGAAGAATACTAGCATGCCGGTAAACCTCTATGTGAAGTTTTTTATATAGATAAAATTTGCATGTTTCTGAGAGTATTATAGAGGACACAATGTGATCGTTTTCAGGATTGGGACGCCACCAAACCTTTAAAGCTCAGTTCTATTGGTAATTGGCTTCAATGTCGTAAGCTCATTGAGGGTATTGGAGATGTTGATGGAACTATTTGTGGAAAATGGCGCAGGTAAATCAGATTCTATTTTTGTTTCCATTTTCTAGTGAACATGAACATTTTGTCTTTGAGTGCTTAAGCAGATGTTATTATGTTGTAGATTGATTGTTTAACCGTGGAAACTTTAAACTAGGAATAGAAAGGCACTAGATATTCTATTTTGTAAATAGCTACTTGAGTATTTTAGAAATTAGACGATTGAGATCACTTGCAGAATTCCCACCTTGTAAATAACCATGGATTGATTGTTTAACCGTGGCAGCTTCAAACTAAGGAAGAGAAAGGCACAAGATATTCTACTTTGTAAATAGGCATAGCTACAAACTCTCGGAGTTGGCCTCGTCTGATTAGGGCTTTCACCTCTTCTTTGAGGTTTCAATATTCATCAATATCATAGCGTGCTGACGTGTGATAGCGACAATATTTGTTTTGATTGAGTTCGACTGCGTTTCTCTTTGAGGGTAGAGGTATGCGAAAGATCTCCTTGTGCGTCACTTGCATGAACCCCTTCTAAGGAAGTATTTAGTGGTGATATTCTTGGAACCTTTCAGGGTAAGGGCAAGATCATTCTACCTCTTTTCTTTCCTTATTCCTTTTGGGCGTAGGTATTCTGTCCGATCTCTTCTCTTTTGGGCGAGCTACATCGCTGATCTCCACCTTTTCTTCTTCCTGGTTTGAGGTTGCTTCTTCTGTTCCTATATTCCCTGACTCTACCTAGAAATTTAAGGTAGATTTTTGGCCCTTATGCGTGGACATACCACCAAAACCTTGGCTTAGGCCTTAGCCTGGACTAGGCGACCATAAAGGCGGTGTCATCTGAAATCTTCTCAACTTTCATGATTTTCTTGTTGAATCTATGGAGGTAGCCCTTCAATGACTCACTTCGTCCTTGTTTTATATTCGTTAGGCGTCCTTGTGTGTGGTTTTGGCCGTGGAGCTCATAAGCCGAGCGTCTGAGCCAAGAAGGCTATCGGTCAAGGCCTTAACCGACCAGTGCGGTGGTTTCCTAAACCATCTTTAAGCTTTATCTCCCAGGTGAGGGGAAAGCTCGGCACATGATGGCGTGGATGGCCTCTTGCAGCTCCATCCAAGATGTATATTTATTGACAAGGTTGACGAGGATCTCCTTCCTCATCATGCCCAGTGAGCTGGGACATCATCAATTTTTCTTGAAGTGGTTCGGTCAGGATTTCCTCTATGAAGGAGGTGTAACGGTTGGTAAAGTATTCTTCCGTCGTTCCCTCATGTTTGGCCTCCAGGTTAGCTATTCATTTTTTAAACGATTCAGCTTGCGTTTTCGTTTGTTCCTTCGACGGGTTCTAGGTTGATCACTTGTTGGAGAAAAAGAACTTGTGCACCCAACCAATCAAAGAATCTCCCGGCCTCCTAGTATTTCATTTTCCTTGAGGTGTGGGGTTTCTTACCTCGTTCGTCCTACTTTTGGAGTATTCTTCTTCTGAAAATTGCATGCTTCTTCAAACAAATGGACGTGCACTTTTGCTCATCACAGGGGATTCAAACTCGGTCTCTACCATTCGAGTGGTAGTGGTATGATTTCTCTCTATCCTTTGCACAGATTCGTGAGGCATTCTATGGCCTCCCTTATAGCAATCAGCGAGGGATGTCCGACCTTAGTGATATCGTTTCCCATTGAAAATTATTGGGAAGGCTTGTATCGTTGAGATTGGTACAAGAATGGCTTCTAGATGTGGAGTTATGGCTCATGCTTGTTTGGATGAGCTGTTTTGCTCGTTTGAGAAATTTGAATACGTGGATTCTACAATTGAGGCCCTCCTTCTAACTCCAAGTTCATGACTAAAAATAACTTGGCCAATGTAGAGCAACTTAAGATGAATTTAATATAGTAATTGTTGGAATATTGTAAAAGAAAAGATTAATTTTTATTTATGAGAGCTTTGAGAGTGTGTTACATGGAGTGAATTGAGTTTGGCCTTTGGGAGGGCACCACTGTCCCTATTTATAAGCATACCAAGTATTTGCTGCCCATTTTCACATCAGCTACAATGTTGACCTCGATATGTGTGCCACCACCCTAATTAAAGAGTTTCAATTGGTTGTTGAGTTCAGTCGAGCATACCATCATTCTACCTAGGTCGTAGCTACAGTCTAGGTCATGATTGTCAACTGCATAGGCAATCGTTGTTCCCTTTTGATTGGTGGATGGGGAGGTGTTGACGTCCGAGGTGACACTTGTCCTCTTAGAAGTGGCTGTTAGGAGGTGGTGACATCACAGGGGATACCTTTTCAAGGTGATAATGATGATGTTCTCAAATGATGGCAGCACTTGGCCAAGCTCTTTGGCTGAGTTTTTGACGACGTGGTGGTGCATTTGATAGTTTCTGTTGAACTCCTTTCTAATCTCATTTGAGGTGTGTCCGAGGTGATTTCGAGTTTGGACGCCAACAGTTTTCAAGTTTGATTGCTAAATTAAATACCCCCTCCATGTAACCATTAAAGGATGACACAACTCCTAATACTAAAGAGCAATTTATTTTCTTCTTATGCACGTGGAGTTTCAGTCTTTTCCTGTGATTTCATTACGATTGGTTATTATTGTACAATCGTATCTTGTTTATTTCGCCGGAACCCTAATGGAAACGTGATGCAGGACCAACGCGATTTCAAGGCAATAAACAGAAAATAATAGAAGAAGCAAGAAGAAGAAGCTAAAGGAGAAGAAGAAGCCGAGAAGAAAGGGGAGGAAGAAGAAGAAGAAGCTGGGAAAGGGAGAAAACTTGGCAACGGCCAATCTCAATTTTAATCAATCATCGTCTAACTAAATTGTAATGTAAAAACTGCTTAAATAGTGAAAACCTAGTTGGGTTTGGGCCAACCCACTATTACAAGCCCAATAATAATAAAAGCATAAATAANTATAATTAGTAAAAACCTAATTAAGTGATGGATTTGGGCCACCCACTACTACAAGCCCAATAACAATAAAATAGAAAATATAAATTATAAAGCCTAATAACAATAAAATTAAATCTCGATGATGTGCGCATCAACTCTCCCGGGGTGGGAGAAAAACTCGACCCCTTCGAGTGGATAAATTTCTACCACGGGGGACGATCTTTCATAGGAACCAAATATCGAAAATCCAGCAGAGTAATCAAGATTTGTTGAAGCTTCTCCATAGGACTCCATGTACAGTCTGCATCAGGTGGAACTACCCAACGAACAAGGAAGCACAAAATCTCTCTATCATTGGTCAACATAATCTGTTCATCTAAAATAACATCAATTGTATCTTTGTGTGCTGTGACAGAGGGTATAAAAGTAGTAATATCAACATAGACAGGTTGGGAGTCCACAAAGTGAGGTAGAAAAGGATCATCAAAGGAAATGAAACGGTTTTTGTAAGTAATGAAGTCCTCAATATATAAAGTATGGTGGTAGCCAAAATGTGAGAAAAGATCGATGACATGTGCATTTGGACCAACATGCTTTAAAATCTTAAAATGACCAGCACTATGAGCTTGCAATATAATATAATCCCCAATATTAAATTCAAAATATCGTTTATGCAAGACATCTTGAAGTTTATATAATGCGTTACTTGCTTCAAGTCGTTTATTGATCTCAATATGCAAATCATGAAGATGTTGTGCAAATGTTTCAACTGACATAGACACTTTAGCATGTGGGGACATGGGACTAAGATCTAAAGGCTTCATAGACTCATAACCATGAATAAGTTCAACGAGACTCATACTTATTGACCGATTCACAAAATTTTTATACTTAATTTGAACTCGTGGGACGATCAAATCCCAATTCCTAAGATTTTCCTTGAAAATTGCATGACTACGCAAATCGATAGCACATCTGGATTGGATAAGTGTATGACATACAACACTTGACTGAGAGGTATCGGGGACAAGGGGTACAATACCTTGATTCACAGGAAAAGTCTGAATACTACTTAAGGAGGTGTTCTCAGTATCATCCAAGTCATCAAATTCCTCAAGTTTAGGTTCATAGACTTGATCTTCTAACTGATCATCTAGTATATTCTTTCGATCTTCGATGACGAAGGCTCGACTAAGATATTTGGAAGAGGTGTGGCCAGAGTCCTTACAGTTGATGCACTGCAAGTGAGACGAAGTCCTTGGAAGTTTAGAAATTGTATCCTTATTTTTTAACACAAGAGGAACATTTGATGGGGAAGGTCTCCTACGAGTCTTGAGAGGAAGTGGTGTTGAGGATATTGGTGTGTAGTTGTCACCACGCGTTTTATATGGAGTACCAATAATCAACTCAAATTCTCGGGCTAAAGAGTAAGCTCGATCAAGAGTAGTGATACCCCTAAGGAAAAGCTCACGCCTAAGATCATCTCTTAAACCTTGACTAAACCTACTCAAAGTCATGGCCTCATCCTCAATGACATGACATTTCATTCGAAATTCCTCAAATTCAGCAATATACTCAGTCACTAACCGACTCCCTTGTTTAAGGGCATTCCATTGGGTACAAATCTCAAAATCTGAGCAACCATCAAAAGTAGAAACACCTACTTTATTATTTCTAAAGGAACGCTCATTATGATGTGGAAGAGAATGAATGCTGTGACGGTCATAACCTCGTTTTCGCTCCTGAACTTGACTCCGATCCCTACGATCGTGTCGAAAATATTTTTGATCACTTTGTTGACAACGATAGTGGCTATTATGGGACACTTTAGAATTATCAACATCAGTCGAACGTGGGGATCTCTTAAAATTATTCAGACTAGCAGCTAGGCTCCTACTCTCTTCAATAGTAGCAGACATTTGGATTTGAATAGCTGCTATTTGACGGGTGAGTGCATTAAATTGCGAGGAGTCCATAGTTAATGTATTGAAACTAAAAGTGACGAGATGATATCTATGCAACTGTATGCACTGTATTAGCAGCTAAATGACGTGCAATGAAGAGATCAATGAACAATAAGTGCAAGCAACGAAAAATAATGACTTGGGCATTTTTTATTTTTTTTTAAACTTTGGGATTAAACGAAATCAAATACAGCAAGCTAATACTGCTGACACCTATAAAATAATAAGCACACGCCAAATACTAGTCAAAATCCGATCACGTAACATAAGTGAGGCAAATGGGAATTTAACGAGTCAATGAGTTCGATCACGTGAACTTTAGGTAAAAACAGGATAACAGCAGCACAAAGATTTAATTGATGCAAAGTTAAGACGAAACAGTGATGTAAACTAAAGATAAGAAATAGTAACTTCCCTATTGTTCGTCGAAGTAATTGAGCGCCAAATAATTGATCGCCAAGGACAACGAACAGTAGCTCCCGATTTTGTTCGTCGTAAGAACTGAAGTAGGTCAAAGATAGGTATCTGCAAAAATGTTAGAAAATAACTTTTTTTTTTTTTTCTTTTCA